CGGCACAGCCTCTCTGCTTTCAGCTCCCCGACGCAGGGAGCAGCCCCCACTCATCATGGGGAAGCGAGTCCCTGGGAGGAAGAGGAGGAGGAAAGGGGGGGTCTCAGCTAAAGAATCCGCCCCCCCGGCACTGCCGGGAGCATGCACGGTTTTTCCCAGCGCTCGGCCGGTGCTGGAGACCCCCCCTGCCCTCTCCGGGCTGGCTTCTCCCCAACTCACTGTTGATGTTCGAGCGCTGATGTTCCTCCACCTTCACCAACGAGAGGGGGGAAGTGATCATGGGCCGCTCACCGCTGCTTCCCCCATCCAGGATTTTTCCGGCATCGCTGTGAGCCAAATCTCCCGGCAATCCTTTGCTCAGAAGAGTCACGCCACCGGTTTGAAGGCTGAGCGGCATTCGTCGAGCGCCGCTGCCACCGTCATGATCCCGGGCGTGGGAAGAGTTCCGGAATTTCTTAGTGAAGGGGCGACCACCTTGGATGTAGCTACGGTAAGCGCCGGCTTTTTGGGGTCGATGTCGGATCCATTCACTGAGGGTCTCGATAGGCGAACCGTTAACACACCATTCGGTGACACCGAATTGCCGGAGGTGCGCCCGCGCGTGGCTGGCCAAAGCTTTGCGGTTTTCGAAGTAGAGGCCGCAGAGCTCGCAGCAGGCTTCGCTGGCTGGAGGGAGGCACGGGAAGGTGAGCGGGCGAAGGCAGCGACGCGGCACGGAGCCGGTTCCCCAATGCCGGCTGCCTCCCTGCTCCGCGCGGAGGCAGATCTCCCGTGGGATTGAAAGTCCCCGTGTTTGCCAGCTCCAGAAACGTCCCCTGGCCCCACTGGGGGTCTGGCTGTGGGGACTGAATGCTCCACAAAGCCAGAATAATTCCACGGGGGCAGCAACGACCCCAAATCTCCGTTCCCCTCTCCCTGATCTGCATCCCCAAGCCAAAAATCCTTCCCGGCACAGCACCGGGGGTTCCCCGCGCCCACCCCACCACGTGACAGACGACTCGAGGGGGAGCTCCACCGCGCTGTTCCCACCTCGTACCTCCCATCCCGCATCCCCCACTTACACGTGTGAGCAGGTTTGTCGTGCACGGACTTGGTTTTGAAGGGCAGCTCGGTCTGGATGTACGCTTTGTGCTTGACTTCGGCGTGAGGACCCAACCGATCGTCCTGCAACGGCCGTTTGGCAGATAACGGCGTCAGGAAACCGCCCTGGGGTTTGCTGGTGAGAGGTGACAATGAGATCTCCCGGCTCAAGGTGGAACTGCCGGGGCTCGGTTTCCCCGTCCGCCCGCCCAGGGGAGGCAGGGCCATGCCCTGCAGGATTTTTCCGGGGGACTTGGGGTCCGTCCCTTCCTCCCCGATAGTTTTAGGGGGTTCGATACTGGAGGTGTGAGGTTCTTTCTTGATAATGCAGGGTTTGGATTTCTTTTTGAGGATCTCTCGTAGAGTGTCGATGGGCGAACCGTTGACCGACCACTCAGTCACCCCCATTTGTCGGAGGTGGGATCGAGCGTGGCTCGACAAACCTTTGCGGTTTTCGAAATATTCGCCACAAAACTCGCAGCGGATATCTCGCACCGGGTCGGCTCGGGAGGCTGCGGAGAGAGACGTGGGGTCAGGGGGGGATGAGAAGGACCCCGGCCACAGCAAGGGGGCCCCCCAACACCATGGCCCATGGAAATGATGCCAGAGCACTGGGGAGAGCCCTCAGCCCCTCCCAGAGCAAGAAGGACCCCCATGTCCCCGTCCCCGAGGGAGTGTGGTCCCACTCAGCCCCACAGACGGAGCGGGGAAGGCGAGAGCCGTTCACTTACAGAGGTTCAAGGGAGACATCTCCTCCCGCGGTGACCAGGCTCGGTCAGATGGGTGAGGTTCTCCGTGGAGTCCTCCCGACATCATCTCCCGCTTGATTTCCACCCTCAGTTGATCTTGTTTGAGCTTCTTCTGCAAGGAGGGAGGAGAAAGGCCTGGAAACATCTTCCGGGCGGTGGGAGGTGGGGACGAGGTAGGAGATTGCCCCATGGGGCTGCCGGGTTGCTGGACCTTCTTAGCGAGGGTGGGGATGTGAATCTCTCCGGGACCGCGCGGTTCCAAGGATCCCAAGCTGCCCAAAAGGGTCTTGGCCATGGCTTTTTGCCCGGGACCAGCAGGATTCGAGGCACTGCTCCGCGGCTGGGTTCTTCGTTTGAGGATCTCCCGTAGCGTGTCGATAGGCGAGCCGTTGACATACCACTCGGTCACCCCCATTTGTCGGAGGTGGGATCGAGCGTGGCTCGACAAACCTTTACGGTTCTCAAAGTACTCGCCGCAAAACTCGCAGCGGATATCTCGCACCGGCTCCGACCCCGAGGCTGCGGAGAGGAAGAGAGAAGAAAGACCAGCATTGCTCAACAGACAATCGGGACAGACGGACACAGCCAACGGCAGCAAAGCCGATCCCTGCCCAAAGTGGGAAGCAGGCTGGAACGCATCGTGGTATCCCTGGAAAACGCAACAGCCAGGGGCTGCAGGGAGCTGGAGGGCTTCCCGGCGGGGCTGACGGCAGAGCCATGGGCCGGAGCGCTGGGATAACGTGGCCGTTCGTGTCCCCGGGAAGCGGCGAGTGTCGCTCGTGCCGCAGCATCCAAGCCCAGCTGCCGTGGGAAGGAGGAAGGTCTCTGGATGAAGACACGCTCCCGGACACTGCGGTGCCAGTGGCACCAGGACAAACATCACATGCCAAAACCGAGCACGTCCCTGCCAACCCCAGTGCTGGATGCTCGGTCCTCGAGCGGGGGCATCTCCGGCCTCCGGGAAGCACCAATTCCCAGCACATTGATGAAGAAGAGGAGGAAGATGAAGCAGCACGAGGTTTTACCACCAAAAACAAGCCACAACCTGAGCTACGTGATATCCCAGAGGAGAAATGCCACTTCACCGGTCCTCATCTGCCCTCCGGCTGCAGAGGGGAAGGGAGAAACCATCGGCTCTGTGTCGGGATGGGGAGGTTGAGGCAGATCCCTGCCTGGAGCTGGGGTAAAACCACGCCAGCGGCTGAAACCCGCACAGCAAGGGAGACTCGAGCAGGATAATTTCAGGTGGAGGGGAGATTGGCACAGGCAGGACTTGTCCTGCCGCTCCCGGGCACCGTGCGGCCATCCCCACCGTTGGAAAGAGCTCACTGGGGAGGCCTGGGTGGTAATTTCTAACCTCAGTCAGGATTTTGGGTGCTGCTGAAGTGATGCCAAGAAGGGACCTACAAAGACAGAGCGGAGGCAGCACGGCAGCCGAAACCCGGCTCGCCCCCCCG